TCTTTCTTTCTCGACGCTGCTATGCTAAACCGACACGCAGCTAGGGACGTGGTTTCTGCTTGGGGAGTTTTTTACTTCTGAGTTTCTGTCTGGGAATTTACTGTGCTAGGGGATGTTTTGTCTGCGAATGTTCTATCGGGGCATGTTCTGTCGGCGAAATATCACGTCGAGGCCACCAATATTTAGTGGTCCCCTGTTTGGTGAACCACTAAATTCTTCGAATTACTGGAAACGAAATAATTTTGAAAAGGTGTATTTCCAAATATATAAAAAACAATAAATAATAAATATGATGCAGGGAATTTTTTAGTTGATGAGTAGATGATTTGATGTAGAAAATGTAGTTGTTTCTCTTGGTCTTCCCTCTTGCATAGCAACGGCGATCCTTTATATAGTGCTCCCAATCTTCTGTCTACTTGGATCTTCGGATACTCCTGTAAAGACTTACAAAAAGAAAAGCATAGCTTAATCAATAACAGTGACGTTATTGAAAGAGAAGAAACCAGATGATTGTCACTCTAAAAACTGCATATAACCACAAAATAAAAATAATGACACAAAATGTTAAATATGAAAAAACAGTTGAAATATCATAAAAAGCATTTGAAAGTTCTTTGTATGCTTACCAAAAGAGACGCGAGCACAACAGGCTTCTTTTATATCTAGAAAGAGTCCTAGTGCTATTTCTTTGCTTTCCAATGCTTGTTCAGCCTGTTGAGCTATCCTATGTATGGCCGCATCGCAAGACTTTCCAGATTGGTGGGCAAACTGGTATCGATGTATCGGTTTATCCAGTAGAATATCTTCCCGTATATATCTATCGATCAATGTCTCCAATGTTTTTAGGAGCAATGATGTTAGGCTGATTGTTTTGAAAGATTTGGCCTCCTCGTAAGACACTTTCGCGAGTTTGGGAATGAAGACCACTCTTGCACACCTCCAGCATTGTGGAACATATCCGAGAGCTATGCTAGTTGGGAATAAATTACACAGTGGTCCCTCCAGTACTTTTTGGCTTTTTTGCAGAAGTGCCCGGAATATACCATCAGGTCCAGCTGTTTGGTATAGTTAAAAGGAATTTATCGCCCACAAAAGTTTTGTTCTGTTTACTATTGAGTTTGCAAAAAACCAATTTGTTTTTAAGGCTCTAGAAATTAGTGCCTCGGTACTCCTGTTTTCTTGGTCAAGAATAATCTCACATCCAGAAAAGTGTGACTAAAGTCTTCTCCTCTATTTTTGTAAAATCCCATGTATCCTTGCTTATCTCTCTGTAGAGTTTTCTTGAGTCTGGCACATTCTAAAGGCTTTCAATGCCGTCACAGAATTTCTTTCAGGAATTTTCTTTGGCTTTCCTAATGACATATTCTCTTCGGTACGCCTTATAGGCTTCCTAGTTCTTTGATCTTTTGCACAGGTTAAAGAGATTACGAACTTCTGCCCTTTCTTTTGAAAGGTTTCGATTCCACCATACAGCGAATCGATCCTCTTTCCTAATTTTTAATGGGCAGTTTTTCAAACGTGTTGGTTAGAGTTCGTGTTAGAAACTCTGACATAAACTCAACTTCCACTGAATTCTTCGGTGTCAGAGACCCTGTTTGAGTTCTTCCTCGAAAGCCCCCCAGTTACAGGTCCTATGATTACGATATGTCTTCTCACCCGAGGTTTTTGTATCCAGAATAAACAGGATATGCCCATGGTCGGAAAGTGACGCTTCTTTTGAGACGTGCCACTTCCCCACCAATGAACACGCCCGTTGTGTACCAAGGGTTATATCATTTACCTCCCTTCACACAGATTTTCTGAAGGTTAATTTATTTCCAACGTTTGCAACTTCTAGTTTAGTGGAAGAAATAAATTCCAAAAGAGCCTCTCCTCGGTTATTAATAATAATAATAATAATAATAAACCGTCTTTATTGATAATTTTTCAAAATATTACAAAAATTTTAGCAATGGAGCGAGATTTAGCCATAGGCTATTCTTCCATCTAACTCCTCTTAATTTAAAACAGAAAGTATTAAGATATATTAAAATGTTAAAATGTTTAAATGTTAAAATACAATACACAAATAAGGTTAAAACAGTAGAAAACATATAAAACCAATAATAAAAGTAGTAGAATTAAAATAAATTTAAATTTTAAATATAGGAAAAAACAAACGTATTAATTGTTGGCTTGCTGTTGGAGTAGGAGTTTTTTTAGTTTGTGTTTAAAACTTGATCGAGAATAAGTATTTTTTAGCTCATCGTCTAGTTCATTATAAAGTTTAATGGCATTGTACGTAAAACTTCTAGCAAAAATAGCAGATGTGTGTTGTGGCATTGTTAGTGTAAATTGTCTGCGGATATTTACATTGTGAATCTGATTACGAGAAATTAATTTAGTTGCCAAATATGGTGGATTTTGAGATTTTAGTATATTGTGGACAAAAGAGAGAAGATGATATTTAAATAAGTTTTTGATGTTTAACCATTGCAGCTGCCTAAAATATGTTGAAATGTGATCATATTTGCGCAACCCATAAATAAAGCGACAGCAGGTATTTTGAATTTTTTGCAGTCTGTTCGAAGTTACTAAATCTAAACAAGAATAGTAAATTACTATGCAATATAATATTTTACTCAATATTAGAGTTTCGCAAAGGTCTTTTTTCATTTGTTGTGACAATATATACTTATTGGCAAATAATAATTTTAATGTTAAATAACACTGAGAAGAGAGGTTATTCACATATTCAATAAACCGCATGTTCTCATCTAAAAGTAAGCCTAGACTTCTAGCTACATTTACACATGGGACTGTATCGTCATCAATTTTAATTGACATATTACTTTTTATGCTTGAACGTGAGTTGGTATTCGAAAATAAAATTAACTTAGATTTAGAAGCATTCAAATGCAAGTTATGGTTTACAGAATATGTGTTTATTCGTGATAAATCAGCGTTCATTATATACTGTGCTGCATTAGAGTTATTATCATCAAAAGTGTGATGTAATTGAGTATCATCAGCAAAAAATTGGACCTTGCACGTTTCTATTTGTTTGTTTAAATCAGACGTATAAATAAGGAATAGCAAAGGCCCTAGAATGGAACCCTGCGGAACTCCAGATTGAATTGATAGGAAACTTGATGATTGACTATTTAGTAAAACTTTTTGCGAACGATTATTAAGATATGTTTTTATAAAAGAAAGTGGCTTTTCAGAAAAACCATAATAATTGCATTTAGAAATTAATAAAAGGTGATTTAAAGTATCAAACGCTTTAGTATAGTCAAGTAACACTAGGGCTGTGGCTTGTTTTTGATCCAATCCCGACATTACTGAGTCCGTTAAGTGGCAAAGAGCAGTGGTGGTACTGTGCCCTTTTCGAAATCCTGATTGGTGCAATGGAAGTATATTATTAGATGAAAAGAATTCATAGATTTGCTCATACACTATTCTCTCCAAAACTTTAGAGAGAATAGGAAGTAAACTTATAGGACGCAATTCATTAAAAGTAGTTGGATTTGTTTTTTTTGGAAGAGGTACTACGACTGCTTTTTTCCACTGATCAGGAAAATATCCGCTTTCAAGGCAACAGTTCACAATGTGCGTAATATAAATAGAAATCACTGGCATACAAAGTTTAAGCATTTGTAAAGATATATTATCTACGCCACTGGAATTCGATTTTATTGCACCTATAGTTTTGGAGATGGTGTCAACATCAACAAGGCTAAATTCAAATGTTTTATTAAAATTAAATTTATTTGTTCTGTAGTACGCAATTTTTTCAAAGCAGTTTTCATTACTGTTTTGAAAAACTGAGATAAAGGCATCGTTAATTTTATATGGATCAGCTAATTCGTATGGTATGTCATTATTTTTAGAAGCTTGTATATTCATCGTTTTCAAAGTTTTAAAAAATGTTGATGTACCTTGAGCACTTACATGACGAAGGTAGGCAGCTTTTTCATTTCTAGTAGAACGAAGAGCAAAGTTTCTGAGCTGTTTATAGTTATTCCAAGATTCTGGCGTTTTTAGGCGCTTAAAACGAGACAGTGCTTTATTTCGTTCATTGTATATCAGTTTGAGATTATCTGTTAGCCAGGGAGATCGAGGTTTACTGACCCTTATTGTTTTATACGGACAGTGAGTATCAAATAATTTAGTAATATTATTAGTAAGAAATCTGACTTTGTTTTCTATATCTGTTACAGTAACTATATCAAGCCAATGTATATTATTTAATTGATTATTAAAAGCATGCATATCTAAGTTTTTAATATCTCTAAAGGTAATAAACTTTTGTGGATTATTTACACATTCAAATTTTAAAACACAGTAAACAAACCTATGATCAGAAAAGAGATCAGCGTTTAGAGTACCACTTACCAAACAAATTTTAGATTTTTCAATATAGATAGGATCTAATAGCGTAGCTGAGGTTTTTGTGATGCGTGTAGGCTCTGAAATTACTTGTTTTAGACCATAGGCTTCAAAGCAACGATTTACATTATTGTCAGCGTTAGTTAAATCGATATTTACATCACCAACTACAAAAATATTATCAAATTGTGGCACAATTGATGTCAACATATCATCCAGCAAATTAATAAAATTTGGCACAGATCCCTTCGGTGGTCTATATAAAATACCAACTGAAACACATCTGCTATTAATTTTTATTTTAACCCATAAATACTCCAAGTCTACTTTTGACAAAAACTCCAACTCCACCACCACGGCTATTTCTTTCATATCGAAAAAAATTATATCCATCAATATGTATAAGAGAAGATGGTATATCAGTTTTAAGCCATGTCTCTGACACAGCTACAATATCAAAATCTTTATCACAAACAATAGTCGAAAAGTCATTAAAACCAGCTAAGATCGATCGAACGTTGATATGTCCAATTTTTAAAGTGTTATGCTTATAGATATTCCTTTTATTCATACTTTATATTAACTTTTAGATTAGATATATAATTTTGAATAATTTGACATTTACTTACATCTTTGGCAGCGTGGTTACAATCTAAGCTGGTTTTGTACTTACTATTATGAATAAAACAATTACTACATTTCTTTCGATCTGCTTTACAATCTTTTATAGAGTGCTCGTCTGCACAAATAGGACAAATCCTTTTACCTTCACAATTTTTTTCTTCATGACCTAGACCCGAACACTTATAACATCGAACAACCCTAAAATAGTCATTTACTGGACATCCCTTCCAGCCTATATGCACAAAAGATTTTTGCAACAAATGGTTTCTTAACAAAGGGGAAACTTCCAAAACAATATCACAATATGTCTTTTGAGAATATCTTAGCACAGTAACAATTTTAAGATCACAGGAACTAAAGGCATCCATTTGGTTGAGAGAGAAAATAGTGTTAGCTATTTCTTCGTAGGACATATCTTCATCTATATGAACATTTTTTATAATAAGTCGGGGGTTAAACTTTTTGGCTTCACTGACCGTATATTTCTTACCAAGTTGATTATTTATCGAAGTTTTAAGTTTATCCAGAGATTTTTGATTATCACAATTTATAATTAAACCATTCTTAGTTTTTTTTGTACCATTAATGCATACTTTTAAATCTGCAGGATTTACACATTTTTGAATATCTTCTAAAACATTTGAATTGTTCCCTTTATTTATTGTTTGTATTAGGAGACTTGACGAAGGCATTTTGTTAGCCACTGGTTTCTTTAGCATATCACTGTAAAAAGATGGCCCACTGCCACCGGCAGCAAAAACACTATTTGAGATAGGTATTGACGATAATTTGTCGGACAAATCTTTAACTTTTTCTTGAAGAAGATCATTATTTAATTTTAGTTCGTGATTCAAATTAGATAAAAGCTCATTTTCTCTTTTCATATATCCATTAAAAATAACTTTATGTTTTAAATCAGAAATAATATCGCTAGGATTTTGATCAACGGAACAATTTTCTATGCAAGACTTACATTTCCATTCCTTTCTTTCCGTGAAAAATAACTTAGACACTGTTTCAAAACACTTGTAATGAATAATTACACTACATTTATTGTTGGAACACTTAACACAGGTTTTTCTAATACTTAATAAGCAGATAAAACAATTATTCTCGGAGCGATCAACCGGAACGTCCGCCTCGGTTGGCATCCTAGACTACATTAATGTCAGTGCTCCCCCATATTATATGGTGAGCATTGGCATCACACCCTAGAAGAAATTTGATTTTGTTTCCTTCACAGTGACTCACCAGTTTTCTCACCTCCTTGATTGGGGGGGGGGGGGGGGAGGGGGGGGGGTCCAGGTTGGTATCATGGCAGATATACGGATCCAACAATCAGATTGGTTCCTCCGTCTAGCTTTAGGGATATTGTCACTAGGTCATTTGTACAAAATTCCCATATTGGAAACACCTTTTAAGTTTTTATTTGCAATAATGCAGGTTCTTGGGTGTCCAGACGCTGAATGAATCATGTCATAGTCCCCTTGTATATAAGAGGTTCTTGAAGTAGAGCAAGATCAATTTTTTGTTTAACCTTAATTTTTTTTACCTGTGCCGCCCGGTTTCGTGGAACGTAACAACTGCAACTGCCTATCTTATCTTTATATCAAATCCTAGGTAAAAAACCATCTTTTAATCCCACTCCCTTGGTATCATTTTGTTTTTCCATGATCCTGATTGTTCAGGAGCTGAAGAGCTCTCTCTGCATTAATATGTAGATAAAATTTGGTTTCATGCCTGACAGCAAACCCGTTTATCTCTTCACTGTTTTAGTTCCAAGGTTAAATCAGACTTTCAATACTGCCCTCGTAAAAGTAACATAATATATTACAACTATCAAAATTACAATATTTCTGTAATGTGTTAAGACAATACAATACTTTCAAGTTTAGATAAAGTTTGACCAACGCGTTGCCGACATTTACCACGCTACTCAAAGTTAATAGGTTTCAGAATCACATCCTTTGATGAAAGTTGTCTATCGTAACATCTTTTTGAAAGAGTCATTACATATAAATATTTCGATCGAAATCATATAGCAATCGTTTGCGATAAACTTGGGACATATTCATCTCAACTGAACCAAAATAACTTTCTCGTAACTTCGGTACGTTATATCAGAATTTGCTGCCTCGAAAAGGCAAAACTTCTGACCGATTTCCATATATAATTTATCAGATTTTGCACCATTTCAATTATTACGCTAATTCGTCTAATTGACGAACACTCTCCAGCCAAGTTCGAGCATAGAATTTCGAACGATAGAGTTAATCTGGACCTTCAAGTGCTAAGTGATTGATTCATCTCTAAACTCCAATAACTCAGCGAATCGAAATTTTATTGGATTTTCTTGTACATTGCACGTAACCGTTCTTAACGTTTATTTTGCGTGTCTTATAAATACCTGCAGGATTATATACAGTTTGTCTACTTAAGTCAGCACCATATGGAATGTTTTTTTTTTATTATTATTGAATCTTTATTTTGATAATCGTCCAACTCTAGTTATAACCTAACGTTCTTAGCAAATAGTTTTGACAACAAAATTATTTAAATGGGAAGTCAGAACAGGTCAACAATCAATTCAAGGGACTCCTAAAAAATAAAACTATTATCTCCATAGGATTTAAGGAAAAACTCAGAATGAAATAAGACTGCATTCAACAACACTCATCCTCTATGTTGCTTCTTGCCATATTTTTTAATTTTTAATTCACATTTTAACATAACCTGTTTTTTACATGTAATCTTGTAAAAATTTATGTAAAAGAATATTTATGTGAAAGTGTCCTTTACCTTTTATAAATCATTGGTTTTAGATAAATATTATTTCATCTAATATTATCTTTTGTTCTGTTAGAAATTCCTCATCCTCGGTATTTGTTTTGTTTTAAAATCTAATGTTAAGTAATGTTAAATTTTCTCACTTAAATGTAGGATCTATTTTCGTTGAGTTGCTGAACATTTAAAGAATAAAAAAAATTTATATATTTGGAGTTACGGAGACTTGGTTAAACGCTCAAAACACCTCTGCTGATATTTTCTTTATTCATTACCAAATTGTAAGAGCTGATAGAGATGGCATAGGTGGCGGTGACGCTTTTTACATCAACTCAAATATACCTTTCAAATTTATATTTTCTAAAAGTTCTCCTAATTTAGAAGAACTTTGGATCTCTACTAAATGATGCGGTAAAATTCTTATTTTTACATCTTCTCTTGTTGACTTCATTGGTGAATTGAAGGATATTGTCGCTAAGTTATTACCAAATAGTGATTTTCTTCTTATATCAGGAGATATCAATATTGATTTTTTAACACAAAATAGAGCTTATGAATTGTGTAATAAATTTTCAGACTCCTTTGATCTTGAACAAGGAGTAAAAGATGATCTCCTTTTTAAATGATACCCTAATACATCTATTTACCACACATGCTCCTTTCGTAACTAAAAGAGCAAATGAACCATCTACTCCGTGGCTTACAGATACAATTAAAATTATGATCTCCCTCAGCGCTAAAGCTTTAGATTTTTAATATTTTAAAGGTTGTTTCAATCTCTTTTGACAGTAATTGCAATGTCTTAACTATGGTTTGTTTATTTTAGTGATAAATGAGAATTAGTTAAGAAAAAGTAAATAGGACCATGATATTTTCGTTAAATTGGACATTCTAATTTCATAGTTACTTCCTACATTACTTTTAATTAACACAATTAACTATTAAGTTAATTAACTGTAAAATTATATTTAAATATGTAAAAATCTTAATGACAATAAAACACTAAATATTCCAATTTCTAAACCGGTTCTAATGATTTGTTTATAACTTAGTGCTCAAAATTGATACAAAATATGTATTAGATAAAAAGAAAACTTCGCCCAGTGAAATAGGCTTCATGTCGTCTGATTTACATATGGATAAGCAATCTATGTAACTATGTATATCATTGGGTATGAGACAACAAGTGTGCTCTGTGGAAATTTATAAAATTTCTTTACTAACGAATCAAATCCACATTTCAGAAGTTTTTTCGATAATGATATTACGAAAATAATTAATAATTACTATACAATAAATGACATAAAACTTTAATAAATTCCCCCATAAAGTTCCCAATTTTGTCACCAGATGGCGTTAAAGTTATCACGCATGGTCCCTATAATAAAAAAAAATAAATTATCAAGAAGAGCATAAACATAAAAAAATATATAAAAAAAATAAATTTTTTGAAGTTTGTAACGGATAACATTGGCGATTTCGAAAATTAAAATCTTGTATATCATTCGTTGCACCTGTATATAATGGACGCAAGTGGTTTGTGAATTATTACTATAAAATGAATAAAACTCAAAGCCAATATCACATAAATACCAACGACCGTTTCCTTTCAGAAAACAACTACTCCTTTCGCTAATACCGCAACAGGTATTGAATTATATCCGAAGGAAAGACAGCAGATATATAAATTAAATTTCAACACTCTACTTTTGATTTTGCTTACTAAGGAGAACATAATTGTTGGACCGGTTTCGTCCTTATTAGGACTCTTTAGAAAGAAATAGATAGGTTCTCAATTACAGTCTCTAATGGAATTAACAAATGCTACAGATTTCACCAGTATACAATAAAGTTAGTCACGAAGAGAATAAGAATTTAAATAGTGAAATGGTGTCGCCATCTGTTCTTAGTAAGCAAAATCAAAGGGCGCTGTAGTACCCAGTTAGAAAACTAGGTGGAACCAAAAAGACCAGGCGAGCAATTTGTAAAAACGAAAATAAATCAAACTCAAATGTGATAGACGTAAATAAAATGAATAAAACTCAAAGCCAATATTCCATTAGAGACTGGAATTGAGAACCTATCTATTTCTTGCTGAAGAGTCCTAATAAGGACGAAACCGGTCCAAGAATGATGTTCTCCTTAGTGAGCAAAATCAAAGGTAGAGTGTAACAAGTGATGTTGGTTTTACTTACCGTGTTTTAGCTCAATTTTAATTAGGGCCGTGAGTAGCACTTAATAACCTTGACAAAACTTAACTATAGGAAAGGTATGGAGGGCGCCACCAAACTTACATAAACATATCATTTAAGGTGAATTATAATAGTTTGGCAAATATAATTATTATGACTGATGTTAAAACAGAATGTATATGTTTATGAAGGCAAGTAACAATTACAATCTACACAAGCCATGATTCATTTAAATTATTTCTTTATTTAATTTTTTAACGATAAAAATGAAACTTATCTCAAAGTAGGAATGGTGTAGGTCTTCAATCTTTTCAAATAAGGACGGTCCTACAGCGATGCGTCTTCTTCTAAATATAAATTACCATGTTTCTAACCATAACTTCAACTGTCTTCTAAACATAAATTAACATATTTTCAACTGTCTTCTTAGCGTTTGTTAAAAAAAAAATATTTTAAACTATGTTCTCAGCGTAGTTGTAAAAAACCATCCAAAGGTTGACTTATCTAAAAGATTGAGACCTTTTTGAAGTTTACGTAATAAGGAAAAATAAGGAACAAGGAGGAAAGATGTTTCTGAACACATAATGAATAAAAAATAATCTTTACAGAAATTAATGACACGTTCTAAAACATCTAACCTCACATTTTTAACAACTAAATAAATCTCGATCCATTTCGTTAATCTTTGCAGAAATCTTGTAAATATTAATCTTTTACTCACCATGAAATACTGATGGTTCTCACCACTAATAAAAATACCACATACTGTTTAAGATTGCTTAAATATTAGCAGATTTAATAATCTCGACTGCCTCGTTCTGAGGTATTATTGTAAAAGACTTTTTCAAGTAATACCTGTCGAAATTCACTTTCGATCCGAACATACAACTTATAAAAAACAAAAAATAACTATATAAAATATTTGTAGCGGAAGAATGAAACTATCGGTCCTAATAGAGATGGGACAATCATTTTAAAAATATAGTTATAAAATATTAAAAAATAACGGTACTAGAAGAGTAACCGTTACAGAGTGTTGAAATTTAATTTCTACCTCTGCTGTCTTTCCTTCGGATATAATTCAATACTTGTTGCGGTATTAGC